CATTACAAAATATGTTGTGCTAATTTGCATGAGAATGGTGGCAATTGGTTACCAACAAACCATAGTTAATCTATTGTTGTGGCTACAGGTATATAATACTGATGTGTTTCAGTGTTGAGAAGCACAATTGATACTGTATCTCTGGGCCTTTTGGCTGGAATCAAAGTGTAATATTTGTTCTCTATTCATTATTTACAGTTTGCAGGTGGACGACTGTCTTCATCCTTGTTGTTGTATAAATAGTGTAAGTGATGATAACTCCTCATCACAAAAATTTAAACAGAAACTCCTCTCTTTCTCTTAAAATTATGAGGGATATCTAATCCTGGAGATTCCAACCTCACAGTGTTACCTTCCTCATTGTACTAAAGAGGGACAATTGGTGGATGTAAATAGCAGTGTTACTGCAGTTGCAGGACAGAGCAATTTCTTCGCACATATGTATGGGCACTGCATATTAAACTGACCTTATGTCTCACTCCATCACTGTAGGGGGAGATGCAAGTAAATACAGACATCTGCTGGTCTTGATACTTGTGAGAGCACTACTTGAATTTTTATTTTCTTCACATATTTATGTCTTTTTAGAACCCTTACAATCTCTTTTTCTTTTCTTTTCTTTTTTTAAAACTCCAAATAATTTTAAATAGGCTTATTTAAATCCAAAATTTTCGTCCAACATATAACTATTTTGAACTATTCTTCCTCTATGTTCCATATCCCTTCAGAACATTGGTGATCATGGCTCTCCACAATTTCCTGTACTTTGTAGCTCTTAATAAGTACTTTTGTTATCTCCCCTAAACCTGGTTTTATCATCCATTTACTCAAGCTCACTAGGTAGATTATGCTTTCCTCTGTCTCTTGCCTTCAATCTACCCTGTGAGTACCAAATTTTCCAAGCCTTCATTCCTCATTATGTGCCCTATAATTTTCATCTCTCTCTCCCGGATGTTAATTATAAGTATCCTTTTTATTTCCATTTTCTCTAAAACTTTGTCATTGCTCACTTGTTTGGTCCATGGTATTCTTAGTATCCTTCTGTAGAGCCACATTTTTGTTGCTTCAAGTCTAATAAAATATCTTTTTTCTTTGTTTTACAACAATCTTTGATCTTTCATTTGTGTATTAATGCACAAGTTATTCAGTATTTTCTCAAATTTGCACAGATGCAAATTATTACTGTTTTACATCTCTGCAAAGTGATTTCTAAGCTGAGCTAAGCTACAACTTTGAGTGTTTGTAAACAAATCAGTTTTGTGCCTATCTACAAATCAAATGATCAGTAATTCATTTATAAAACATGTATTTCAAATAGAGAACTGATTTATCATATATGTCAACTACAATGATTTATGGGATCATTTTTCAGACACTGCATTTGATTGGGTTTGAACCCAGTCTTTTATGCATTTATGTGATCAAATGTAATTTTGATGCTCATTTCTTTGTGAGAGATACATCCACTATAACTCACTAAATCAAAAATGTTTAAAAACAGTGGGTATACTAATGTTATTTGTCTATACTTAGATGAGGTATTGTAATTATTCACCCTATTTACATTGTTGTCTTCATCTTTGTTGCTATATTCACAATGTTTCGGCCATTGTGCACTCTGGCTTTCTTTAGAATTTTGAACTTATCCCTTTATTTGTCCACTAAGGTTGATTTTCCTGCTTTCACATGCCATGCCTCTTCTGCTCAGCTGGAACAGGTCACAGCTAGACTCTGTAGTCCTTTGACTTACAGATATTTATCGGTATTTACTACTTACAGTGTCGTCACTCATGGGGGTGACAGGTTATTCCATTACATCATTACGACACAATTTATGCTTATTTAATTTTTCTTACAAGGAACTATCTAAGCTGACAAATAAAAAATATCAAACAATGTACATCACATTTCCATCTAAAGAACCTGTGTTCCATGTACTATGAATAGAAGATATATATATATGTGTGTGTGTGTGTTTAAAATACTTCTTTATGTGTTGTGTCAATTCTGGACATAGGTGATCATGGCTCTCCAGGATTTCCTGTCCTGTGTAGCTCATAATAGATTTTTACTTTTTGTTATCTCTCCTAAACTTGTACTTTTATCCATTTACTCAATCACACTAAGTAGGTCATGCATTGTTTTTCTCTGTTCCTCTTGCTATCAGTATATCTTGTGAATATCAGATTTTCCAAGCTCTCTTTCCTCATTATGTGCTCCAGAAATTTCATCTGTCTCTTCCTGATGTTAAGTATAAGTTTCCTTTTTATTCCCATTTTCTCTAAAACTTTGTCATTGCACACATATTTAGTTCATGATATCCTCAGCATCCTTCTGCAGAACCACATTTTGGTTGCTTCAACTTTCCTCTTCATCTGTGAGTAGATTGCCAAGCATTCAGGACAGACATCACATAATAGTTGAGTTCTCTTTTCGTTGTTTCTAACAAATTTTTTCTGTTTCTTAATACTCTGCTTAGCTTTTGGTATGCATCTTTTTGTCATCGCAATGAACCTTCGGATTTCAGTATGGCACTTTCTGTCCTCTTTTAAAACACTTCCCAAATGTTTAAATTTTGTACTTCTTTGATTTTGGTAGCTCTGATTTGTAATTTTTCATTATGTTTGTACATTTTTCTTTCATTATGAGATTACATATATGAAAATGAAAGAAAAATGAATGTTGAATCAATTCAGTTTTGACTCAAGTTTACATATAGAATCACATTCAAAAGTAAAAATGGTTTTCTCCAGGATATTTTTTTGTTGTTGATTTTAAATTCAGATTAAAATGTTCTTAGAGAAATGAAGAATTACTTAGTAATTTTTCTTCCGATCAAGAAGATAATTTGAAATTGAATAAATGGGTTTTTAAATCATGTTATTGCTTCTAGCATCTAATTAATGAAGTGCTTTGGTGGAAATTGTATACTTGGAGATCAGAAGTATATCAAAATGTGTCAAGATAAAGTCTTCACTGATTGGCTAATTTAATTCTTTAAAATCATTGGGCAAAAAAGACAAATGTTAAAATCAAATTTTCATGTGCTGTGATCAACTTTACGCACATATTTGTGCTTGGAGTATATTTAGCATTAAACTGTGCTCCAAAAAGGAATTGTTATCAATGGAACATGTAGATTTTCCTTGATATTGCTGTCTAATAAAAATAGAATTAAAAACTTGATATAATCAGGGAAAACTATACAACCTGTATACAATCTCCCACAATGCAATACATTTAATAAAGTATTTAACATTAGATACAAGCTGAAAAACTGTAAAAAAGTACAAGAACTTATCAAAATCATTATCTTGAATTTATTATCAGCTGAAGTATTGTCAATTATTACTTTTTAACTGATGTTTTTATTTGTCATTAAAGAAATCACAGGTAAATGATAGATAAATTCTTTTGTCTTGAATAACCCTTTGAAGACAATATTGGCAAACTACAAGTATCAAAAAGTAACACCTTGTTCAAAACTGATTTGTTCATCCTTTTATTGTTCATAGACCAAACACGCTTTCCATCATATATATATATATGTATATATGATAAAAATTGTTTAAGGCATGCTATATTTATGGGTAAAAGTGCTTAATATCAGATTGAGAATATATGTATAAAAAAATATAAAGGTGGACAGTGAAGTTAATACACAGCAGCAGTGACAATATGTTTCATGGTTGAACACAATTTTCAGACCCATATATATATATATATATATATATATATATATATATATATATGTGTGTGTGTGTGTGTGATAGGACAAAGCACAAATAGAAAATTTTTATAAATTTAACATGTTTTGCTTTTATTAAAGCTTCATCAGAGAATGATATGAGGTAAAAATATTTCTGGTATTTTCATAGGAACAAGACTGAACATAAGTTTGATTCTAGAAATGCCATCCAAATTAAAGAAAATAATTCTTTATATTGAAAATATTTTTTGAGTACCCTGATAAAATTTTACCAACTATGAACACATATCAAAAACACTATATGGCCACACTAACATTTATTAAATCCATTCTTAAAGAATCTAACATATATTTAACTACCACAACTGGTATTTATGTAAAAAGGCCCCCAAATCAACAGGCAGACAACCTCTAAACATAAATAATGCCTACTAGACAGACACATATGTACAGGGAGTGATGGATAAATTGTAATCTAAATTATGTAAAAATAAAAACATTGAAATCTCATTTTAACAGAATTTACTAAAATTACACAAAAATATCTTGAAATACTAAAGTGTAAATTCAATAAAATCGCCATTGACTTCAACACTGAGGCCTACGTGAAGTACCCTGAGGAGATAGTGCCCCCCTGGGTCAAGAGGGTGGCTGGTGGAAAACCCTATATCTGGCAACAGGACTCTGCACCATACCACACAAGCAAGAAAACCCAATCATGGCTGTCTGACAACTTTGGAATCTCCTGCATCTCTTCCTGATGGTCTCCTTTTTTATGTTGGTAAATGCTGCCACCATCCTTGCCCTCAGTTTATCTTTGATGTCACAAGAAGTTTTGTTGATCTCTCACTCAAATGTGCCCTACAAATAATAACCAAGAAGGTCAAAGTCTGGGGAAATATGTTGCCAGATGTAAGAGGTGATATGATCACAAAAATTGTCAGACAACCATGATTGGGTTTTCCTGCTTGTGTGGTATGGTGCAGAGTCCTGTTGCCAGATATAGGGATTTCCACCAGCCACCCTCTTGACCTAGGGGAGCACTATCTCCTCAGGGTACTTCATGTAGGTCTCAGTGTTGAGTATGGGGCCCTCACCAACAAATTCAGGAGTTCTTTTTTTATCAGAAAGATCATAGTCTGTTTTCCAAGCTAACAAGGCTTCATATACTGGGCAGTTGTCAAAATCAAAAACAAACACTGTGCATGCATGAAATTAAAAATATAAAATGACAACAATTTACTCATCACACAGTGTATACATTGTCGTTCGAATCCTGCATAGACAAACT